CATCCATGATAACTGGATAACCACCACTTGATCTCAGCAGGAATGCCGTAGAAAGAGGTGGGGACTGTGGCAAACTGGAGGACACACCCCCTGTCTTAGGCATCAGTCATTGCTAAGCAGGAATGTGGGACCAGTGTTAACAGATATTCTGGTTTTTTTAAGAGAAATCATAATTCTAGGGTTTTTTTAATATGACACTTACTAATAGTTAACTGTTGACAACTACTTTTTAAAATGCTTAAACACTATGCAAACTAAACAATATATATCTGTGATTGAGTCAGCTCTGCTCATAGCCTTCCAATTTCTGATGTCTGAGCCACACAGATGGAATTCAGGAGAGAAAGTTGAGCAAATTAAGAAGAAACCCAGGGACGGTCTGTGGAGGACCATGGCCATCTGGTGGGCTCCCAGGTTGGTGGTGGTAAATGGAGGCTGACTGGCCATGGCTATTTCTGGTCACTACATGGAAGTCATACGAACAGCCACTGAGCTGTGGACACTTCCCAGCTTAGGTGCTGCCTTGGGGAGGAGCCTGCGGCCTTCACCCTACCGCCAACCTCTGTGGCCGTTTTCATCCTCCACGGTAAAGATGCCCTATACCTTGGAGTGTCTGGGTCCTGGCTGGAAGTGGCATCTTGCTTAGCACATCCTAGATGCTCACATTCCTATCAGAAATTTTTCTGTTGCCTAATTTAAGTACTTTTTGTACTTGAGTCTTCTTTTTGCTTCTGTCTTCAGAGCAACTGGAGGAATGGGTTACTTTTTTTTTCTGTACTTAACTTTTTTTTACTTTTTATTGAGATTATGATAGTTTACAACCTTGTGAAATTTCAGTTGTACATTATTATTTGTCAGTCATATTGTAGGTGCCCCACTGCACCCTTTGTGCCCACCCCCCCCTTCCCCTGGTAACCACTAATCTGTTCTCTTTGTCCACGTGTTTAACTTCCACATATGAGTGGAATCATACAGAGATTGTCCTTCTCTATCTGGCTTATTTCACTTAACATAATACCCTCGAGGTCCACCCATGTTGTTGTGAATGAGACGATTGTATCCTTTTTATGGCTGAGTAGTACTCCATTATACATATACCACATCTTCTTTATCCAATCATCAGTTGCTGGGCACTTAGGTTGCTTCCACGTCTTGGCTATTGTAAATAATGCTGTGATGAACATAGGGGTGCATGGGTCTTTTTGAATCGCTGATTTCAAGTTCTTTGGATAGATACCCAGTAGTGGGATGGCTGGGTAATATGGTATTTCTATTTTTAATTTTTTGAGAAATCTCCATACTGTTTTCCATAGTGGCTGCACCAGTTTGCATTCCCACCAGCAGTGTATGAGGGTTCCTTTTTCTCCACACCCTCTCCAATATTTGTTAATTTTTGTTTTGGTTACTTTTGCCATTCTAGTGGGAGTAAGGTGATATCGTAGTGTAGTTTTGATTTGCATTTCCCTGATGATCAGTGATGATGAGCATTTTTTCATGTGCCTATTGGCCATCCGTATGTCTTTGGAGAAATGTCTGTTCATGTCCCCTGCCCATTTTTTGATCAGGTTGTCTGATTCTTTGTTGTTGAGTTGTGAGAGTTCTTTATCTATTATGGAGATTAACCCTTTGGGGAATGGGTTACTTTTTAGCTTTGAGACTCGTCTCCAGTCCTCAACATGTTCTCGGAAATGATCCTTATAGACTTGAAAATTGTTGTGACCTAGAGATTAGAAAGTCCTTTGCATATTTATATTTTACCAAGCCTGCCTTTAGTCCAGATGGGTAGTTTTCCACTTACCCTCAACACTAATCACCTTTGCATTATCTATTTCTGTTCCTGTTCTCAGTTCACTTTGGGGTGGGGGAAGGGGTTTAAAGACAGAAATTTTTAGAAGAGCTAAAATCCTCACTTTCCTACAGTCTTCATTAACAGGTTTTAGGGACAATGTTATTTTCTTCTGTCTTTGATTTCCATTCCTGATTCTAAAGAATAACTCCCAGGTGGCTGGCCTAGAGCTGATTTTGAAAGGTACAACTTTGTGAGATGATAGAGAATCCTAAAAGATGTTCTGAGGCTGGCCCTATGGCCTAGTGGTTTGGCGTGCTCCTCCTTGGCAGCCTGGGTTCAGTCCCTGGGCGCCAACCTACACCACTTGTCAGCTCCCATGCTGTGGCAGCAAACCACATACAAAATAGGGGAAGATCTTAGCTTAGGGCGAATCTTCCTCAGAGAAAAAAAAAAGATGTTCTGGACATTCCCCAATGATGCTTACAAAGACTTATGAATCTATTTAGCAGTATTTCCAGCCTGATTAGGAAGTGAGGAAGAGGCATTTGGTCCTCCCTGGTTGATGGTTCTTATCAGCTCTGGGCAGCAGAGGAAGGTTGCCAACTATGAGGTCTGAAAAGAGGAAAGATCAAACTGGCATCTATACCAGCCACACTCAGACATACCCTGCCAAAATGTACTCTCCCCACCAAAATACACACTCCACCAAAACATCCACACTTCACAAAATGATGTCCTTCCATATGTACTAAGTGCACATTAACATCTGCAAACACACATCCATATTCCCTCCCATACACAGACATCAGAACTCACATACACACTTAAGTAGGCATACTCACTCAAATAAACAGACTGCCCTCCCTGCCCACCCTGATACACACACACGCAAAGACCTACAAACACCACATGTTGTACAGCACAGGCGTGAGCTGACGTCATCCTCCTAGAATAGCTCAGCTCAGCCTCAGCCTGCACATTGGCTTTACTCAACCGCAGGTTTCTAGAGAGGTCAGGAAACTGGGAGGTAACTTGGCAAACAAGCCAACGGCCCGCGGGCCCAACAGGACACTGGGAAAGACAAGAGTCACATAAAACAATCTGGTTGCTCCTGACCGTGGAGTGGAGAACAGGCGTGTGTGATGACCCCGCAGGCCAGAGCTGAGGCCTGAGGAGAGGGACCCAGATCTGGGCGGGGATTTGGTCTCAGGAGGGCAGTTTGGGATTTGAAATCTGAATTGTCCTGGAAATTTGGGACATATAAGCATAATAATTTGTTTTTAAGCAGCCTGCAAACTGTTGTTGAGACAAGATGTCAATCTCCAAAGAGATCATTAACAATGCCAAATAACAGATTATAAATGCCAAATAAATGGTATGGATAACATTAATTCTGTAGTGGAAAATAGCACAGGTTTTCCAGGTGGAAGCCCAAGCCAAAACTGGGCCTCTAGGGCTCTGGGGACAAGGAGTGACGGGAAGGAGGCAGTGGGGCAGCCAGGAGAGAGTGGCACAGCCCAGGTGGAGCAGGCCGGGCATGCTCAGACAGGCATGAAGTGCGGCCATGTGACAGGGCAGGCATGGGGACCAGGGGCAGCATGTTGAAGGCTCTGGGCGGCAGAGCCGCCCTGATGATTACAGAATAGTGAGGAGAGTGACCCTGGAGCACACAGTGGCAGAAACTTAAAAAGGTAGATGGGACCAAATTATGAAAAATCTTAACTATTAGGCGAAAGAGTCCAGACTTAATGCAGTAGAAAAATGGGAGAGGGTGGTGTCTCATAACGATCTGAGCAAAAGAAGAGCAAGTGAAAGCAGACCTTCAGGAAGAGCGCTCTACCGACACTGGGAAGGGACCTGACGGGGTCCACTGCAGTCATCTAAAGGTGAAGCAGCAACGGGCCTTGGGACTGGAGCTGAGGGGCGCAGTGCAAGGAGAGGCCAAAAGTGAGTCTGAGTTTTCTGGGTGGCGTGACTGGGGAAATAAGAGTATCTCTGCAGAAATGGAGATCAGGCAGGAAGCTGGCTTTGGAGAAGACAGTGGGCTTAGACTGAGGTGGACATCCAAGGAGACGGACAGAGCAGATGGTAGGAGGAGCAGGATGAGAGGACAGGAGGACAGACTACGTAGATGCAAAAGCCAGTTGTAAAAAAGTAAACACCAATGTAAACACCATGAATAGGATCTCTCTGAGGAAGGAAGGAGGACAGCAAAGGGAGTAAGCAGACACAGTGATGGACCGGGGGCAGGAAGGGGGCCAGGGCAGACCCAGCAGGGAAGGAGGCAGAGAAGCCTGGGGTTCCTACCTGTCAAGGAAGAAGGAGAGACTGCCTCCAGAAGGTGGTCAGCAGGGCCCTGAGTTCAAGGAAAATAAGAATTTACAGAGGCTACTGGGTTTGACTCATTTTACAAATACGTATGGGGCACCCCTGCATGGATGGCGGTTAGAAATTGCCCCGGTTCAGCAGACATCTATGAGCGCCTGTGATGGTGCCAGGCCCCGAGCACCGTCCTGCATGCCGAAGAGGGAGACTGAGGCTGGATTCTTTCCCCTGAGGAGCCCGTGTTCGCAAAAGCGCCACTCCACAACAAGGAAGGATGAGGGCTGGGGGGAAACGGGAGGAGGAAGAGGGAGTGGATGGAAAAGCGAGTACAATTGAGAGCAGACCACTTACTCAAAAATTTGGGCATTTAAAGGAAAGCAAGGGGCTGGCCCCGTGGCCGAGTGGTTAAGTTCGCGCGCTCCGCTGCAGGCGGCCCAGTGTTTCGTTAGTTCGAATCCTGGGCGCGGACATGGCACTGCTCATCAGACCATGCTGAGGCAGCGTCCCACAAGCCCCAACTAGAAGAACCCACAACGAAGAATACACAACTATGTACGGGGGGCTTTGGGGAGAAAAAGGAAAAAAATTAAAAAAAATAAAAAATAAATCTTTAAAAAAATAAATAAATAAATAAATAAATAAATAAAGGAAAGCAAGAACTAGAAAAATAACCTGAAGGCACAGAAAGTCTTGCAGCGCTCTCCCTGTCCCGAGCCCCGCCATAGGTGAGACCGGATGTTTCTCGGCAAGAGAAAAGGCATAGAAGAAGAGCAGAACCTGGGGGAGGTGGGATTATTGTGGAATAAATCCGAGACTTAGTCTCCTTTTCCCAAGAGTCAGGAAGAATCCATTTCTGCCTAGTTAAGAAACACAGCAAAGCGGTAAAATGCGGACAAAGCGTCCGGGTGAGCGGCTCTGTCAATGAGTGGTTGGAAAATGTGGGAGTCAAAAAAGGGGCCCGCTTGGGAGAGGTGGTATCAGCAAAGTCTTCTTGGAGGAGGTGGCATTTAACCTAAGACTTGAAGGATGGGCGGAGAGGAGAGGCCTGGGCATTCCCAGCCTGGAGCTAACCAGGCGTGGCTCTCGTCCGCCGAGAGCGCCGGCCCTCCCGAGCTCCCCGCTCCGCTCCCCTCCCGCCCCACTCCGCTCGCCCGCGCCCCACTTCCCGGCACTGACGTCAGCGGGCGCTGACCGCAGCGCGGAGGCGGTGGCGGGGGCCGGGCCTTGGGGCGCGGGGGGCGGGAGGTGCTGCTCCTGCCCGCCCCCGCCGCAGCGATGGCCAATGGGCGGCGCTGCCACACACACCCCCACCCTCCCCGCCCCCCGCCCCGGCTCCGGGAACGGTATGAAAGGCACCGCCCGGCGAAGTCAGCTCAGTGTGAGCTGCCGAGCCGCCGACGTTGCGGAGTGGAGAGTCGCGCCGAGACTTCCCGTCGGTCCCAGAGCTGCCACCGCTCTCCGCAGCCGCGCACGACAGGAGCCAGGCCCGCTGGACCGGGAAGAGAACGGACATGCTCCCGGAGATCGCTGCCGCCGTGGGCTTCCTCTCCAGCCTCCTGAGGAGCCGGGGCTGCGTGAGCGAGCAGCGGCTTCAGGTTTTCGGCAGAGCTCTCCAGGAGGCACTCACAGGTGAGCACGCGCGGAGGGTCCTGGCGCGCGTCGAACCCGGCCGCGGGGCTCGGCCCCCTCCCTGCCTGGGCGCGCTTCCTCTCCGCTTCGGGGAGGGGTCCGCACGCGAGCAGCTCCGGGACTCGGTTTCCCTCCAGTCCCCCCATTCCCTGGGCCACGTCTCCGCTCCTCGGCCCTGCGCTCGGCTCTCCTTGGCAGTTCGGATTGGGCGCGCCCTTCCTCACTGTCGCGGGCGCAGCCTGTTGTCCTAGAGCGCGATCCCCAGTCCCCAGCTTATGCCCCAGAGGAGGGGGTACCTGCGTGTCTGAGTGCGGCCTCATCTTCCTCACTGGACCCTGAGACCCGCGAGGGACGCTGCGGGAGACAAAGCCCGGCCGGCCCAGGGGTCTTTATGGGAGAAGGCGGCACAGTTGAGCCCTCTCAACAACTGGAAGCCGCCGCGGGGCTTTTTCCAGCCTTGCGGGACTGCGCTGTGTCTGGACTGCTCGTGGAGTCGCTCGAAGTTGGGATCCGGGCTCACTTAGTGTTCTCTGGTCCCTCTTAGCCATCTACTACATATTATGGTCCACAGAAGTCCTTGTAGGTAGTAACTGCGCCCTACAGGCATGTGTGTGGAGGGGTCGGGGTGCGGCGGAAGACAGCAGGGTTGACAGCCCTGGGTTGACAAGAGATAAGCAGCCTCGCTGGGGAGAACCCTATCTCCCAGCTGTTTCAAGCCAGTTGGCTGGAGGTCTTGAGGAGCCATAGCCATCTCTGAACGTGCCGGCACGTATCTTGCGCACGTGTGAGGAACAACATATGTTTCAAGACAACACCACATTTGGACTCTAATAGCCACTGCTAAGATCTCTGAATTTTGAAAGAGGAAGTGGGAGCCACTGGGCGGAGGGTTGAGGAGTAGTAGCTTACTGTAGATCCAACAGTGACAGCAGCCTTCCTGGCCTTGCAACTGCAGCTCGTAGGTCTCCAGAGGCCCTGCCTGGACACGCTGGCCGCGGTCATATCCCTCCTCCTTAAACTGGGGATGTGCCAAAAACAATACACTGGTTACTAAGGATTGCCCCAGAACTCTGGGACCCCATCCCAATATACTCACACACCCCTGTCCTGGAAGGGGGGCTTCCTTCCAGATCCAATAACATTTTCTCTGCTACAGTGGCAGGAGTCCTGGAACTCTGGAAACCACCTTGCTTACTTGCTCACAGGGTCCGTCCGTCCTTCTCCTCCTGTTCTTTCATCCCCATCCTCTGTTCTCATAGCATCCCTGGCCCAACCACTCTAACCAGGGCCTCTCCCCATTGTCCTGTCTCCATAGAGCACTATGAACACCATTGGTTTCCTGAGAAGCCATCCAAGGGCTCTGGCTACCGCTGCATCCGCATCAACCACAAGATGGACCCTATCATCACCAAGGTGGCCAGCCAGATCGGACTCAGCCAGCCCCAGTTGCACCAGCTGCTGCCCAGTGAGCTGACCCTGTGGGTGGACCCCTACGAGGTGTCCTATCGCATCGGGGAGAATGGCTCCATCTGCATCCTGTATGAGAAGGCCCCAGTGGCCGCCTCCTATGGGCTTCTCACCTGCAAGAACCAAATGATGCTGGGCAGGAGCAGCCCCTCAAAGAACTACATCATGGCAGTCTCCAGTTAGACCCCCTGCCATCCCTCTCCGGCATTCTACTGTACTCATTCTGCTGTGACAACAGGACACTGCATACCTCAACCTGGGGAACAGTATTTTAAATGAAAAGCTATTTATATATATATATATATATATATATATATATATATATATATATACACACACACACACATATATATATATATACACACATATATATTTTTTTTTTTTTTTTAAGAAAATGGGAGGAAAAAACCAAAAGATTTTTTTAAGAAGAAAATCCTTAAGGGGAGTTGCTTGAAAGCGGCCTCCCCAGGTGCCTTTTTGGAGAGAACTGTTGTGCACTTGAGTCTGGGAACCAGTGTCTGCCTATGGGAGGGGGTCATAGCTGGGGGTGTGCCTGGCCAAGGTGAGGTGGGAGGAGCTTGGCTAGCACCCTAGGAGGCTGTGAGAAGGAGCAAGCAAGTTTAGCAACTGTGAATGAGAGGTTAGGATCTGCCCTGGTCGGGGAGAGAGGCTGAGTTCACAGCTCTCACTCTCCCCACTGGGACATCTGCATCCCTGGCTCGTCTTACTCAGGGCGTTCAAGCCTGGACTTAACTCTTACTGTGCTGCCTAATCTTCTCTCTTATTTTTCTGATGAGATCCTGGGCAGAGAGTGAAAAGGTCTCTCCTGGTTCCTCCAGTCCTAAGCAGCTTTTCTTGAAATCATGATTTGTTTCTACTTCTATCCTCAGGGGCCTGTAGACGTCACTTCCCAGCTGGGACTCTCAAGCTTTTTGTTTTGTGGGGTCTGGAGGGAGCGGGGTGGAGGTGGTTGGGGTTGGGACAGTGGGCACTCCACACAAAACCTTTGCTGCATTATTTGCTGCTCTGTGAGTAAGTGTGGCGAACAACTTGAGAATGATTTGCAATGGAATTTTAGGACCCAAAGAATATCCCCTGGGGATGTTTTTTTGGCCAAAACCCTTCTTTTTGGAACCATGTGAAAGTCCTGATGTTGCTGTCATTATCTCTTTGCAAGGCAGCTCAAAAGCTGCAGGGCACTCAGGTCTTTTATTACTGGCTTCTTTTTAAAAGCACAACACTCCTCTCTAACTCTCCCTGCTCCGCTCCTCTTCTGGCTAGGTCAGGGAGCTACCCTGTTTTCTAGGACAAGAGTTCTCAGTCACTGTGCAATATGACCTCCTGGGTCTCAGGCAGGTCGGAAGAAAACTGGCTCTAGGAGCCTCCTGTGCCCTGGTGGTCTTGGGGAACGAACTCTCCCTCTGTCCTTGGGACTCTGGCTGGCTGAGCAGCCTTGCGGGTGTTCCTTGGCCGAAGGGGAAAATGCCCTAAGTTCTCCAGGACTGCTTGGTGTTCTTGTAGGGCTGACACTAAAAGCCAAACCTTGGGCATTGCTTTTTCTCCCTGGTGCTCAGAGCCCTGTGGGAGAGGTTGTCGTCTCTCTCGGTACAATCCAAGTTTGTCTCGAGTTGTGCAATATTTCCTGGAGAAAAATGGGAAACTACACTGGAAACAAATCCCCTTTCTTGGGTTTCTCAGTGACATTAGTGAGGGGTCCTCAGAAGGCTGCCAGTTTCCCAAACCCAAATCACCTTGAGAAGGATGCAGCTAGAGCACAGTCAGCCTGGCTGCCCTTCTACTGTTGTGCTGAGTGAGGAACCTTCCTCCAGCACCACCCCACCCCCTCCAGACCCCTTCCTCGATTTCTGAACTGCTCAATTCTGACTACAGGTGCTATTTACCAAACCCTCTACTCATTCCTGCCAGTTCTGCCTCCTTTTCCATTCTCCAGATTCTCAGCTGCCTTCCCAGACCCTGCTTCCAGTCTTTATTACTTTCAAGTTAACTTCGGGCCCACAGACCCGAGCTCGGTTTCTGGCCTGTGAGTTGAAACAAAGCTGTGAATCGCTGCGGAGCACCCTGTTGCATCTTGTCTGCAAACAGATCCCTGCCTTTTTAGAAATGACCTCATGGTCTCATGCCTAATATTTTCTCTCTTGTCTTCTTTTTAATGTTCACTTTAAACATAAAACACCCAGAACTGGACTGTTGAGCAGGACTGTCTCTCCTATTAAGTAAAAATAAATAATAGTAGTACGTTTGTAAGCTATTAAAAGACAAAGGTTACTAATTGTGTAATAGTGTATTTATGTAGAAGAATGTACAGCTTTATGGACAAATGTATACTTTTTTGTTTCTTTAATAAAAATGTAGTGGATGAAGTCTTATGTAGAGAAGTTTCCCACATTCTAATTTGCATGTCTCTCAGATCCGAATCCTTTCTTTGTTTCTTACAGCATTTCTCTTCAGTTGCACTCAGAAGATCCATAGCATGTGGCTGGTATAAAAGAAAAATCTAGTTGTGTAGTGGGGCCATTTCCAACCTTCCCTCTTCCCTGGGAAGTTGCTGTCCTCCCTTTAATGTGTATTCTAATGTTTCCCTGTGAAAATGCTGGGCGGGGCAGGGTTATTCCAGACTGAACTTTCCTTAGTCCAGCCAGGTTGCACTTTACGCATCTTACCCCTGCTAGGCCTCAGTTGCACTCACTCATCCATTCATTCAGCAAGCACGCGTTGTCAGGAAGTGCTAGGCACTTGAAAATGCTTATAACGATTAAGACACACAGCCTGCCTCTCACAGACTAGGGTTGTCAGCAGAGGGCACTGAACCCCTTCCCAAGTCGGGGCAGGATTGTTTGAAATTCCTGGTACAGGCTCTCTTGTCTTATTAGACGAGCAGTTGGGCCCCAGGATCTACACACTTCAGCCCAACAGTGAAGGGCAATGACAGTCAGCTAAGAGCAGCTACTTCTGACAGCAAACACTGTGAGCCAAAGATTTGTTACCAATTTATAACTCCCTTTGGCTATGTTAATAGGATCTATGTAAGGAAATGAGAACAGTCTTTATTATCCCTGACTCCTGGGTTCTTTCCATGAGGTTTTGACAGATTTCCCAACCACCACCCCACTTGATGGCTCAGCAGTTCCCACTGAGGTCACAGGTACAGTTTTGACCTGGGCTAGTTTTTTTTTCTTGGCCCTAGTGAGCTGTATTTAAACCAAATTTTAAACAAATTGACTCATGAGCAGTGGCACTGTCCTCCCACTTCATTTCATTTTTCCATGACCCTCATCAACAAACATGCAGTTTGACCCAGGTGTACTAGGTGGGAGGTGGGCCAGGGAAGCTGTGTGTGGTACACTGGGAGGAGAAGGGAGCTGGGAGATAGGGATGCGGGAAGCTAGTTCATCTGCATCGTAAATAGAATTGGTTATGGGGACCCACTTGGTGTCAAAGGAACGATCCCATTTTCACTTGTAGCTTCTAACACAAGTGTCCTTTGTTAAGAACCCACTTTTTTGGCTGTTAGGGTTGAATTTTTGCCCATTCTGGCATGCTCTTCTCTTCTTCTGTACAAAGTCAGCATCTATCTTGTTTCCCAATAGGCCCCAAACATGAATGGTATTTCATTGTTTAGTAGAAAACCTAAAATTCAGGGAAGGTCATTTGAAAGCTGGGGAAACCACAGAAAGGCAGATTTAGCTTGGTGCTGCTCTCGGCTCCCAGTGGACTAATTGTCCCTCAATTTGCATGAGAGGGTTCTGTGATCAAATAGTGTGTTATTTATTTTAGATCTGAGCAATTTCAGTTGGGGTAGAGAGTGCCCCTTCTACAGCTGGGGGACAAGGGCTGTGGACAGGAACTGCTTAAGGAGTTGCAGTTGGTGGCCTTCATATGTCCAGAGACTGGGCATTGATTGGTCTGTTCTGCTTCCAGCTTCCCCACTTGGTAAACAGTGCCAGCCTGGGAGAGCTGTGGTCCGTCAGCTGTTTCTGGATGATAACGCACCTCCCCTGAGAGTGTAGACAAGGCCTTGTGAGCTGCAGATTAAGAGCCCGTCCTGGCTCCTGATAAGGCGTTTTGGGTGGGGGAGTCCTTGGTGCTGCAACAAACAAGCCCCAGAAAGAGGAATCCCACTCCTGTGAGTCTGACATCTGCTCCTATGGCAGCCTGTGTTAAGGAAAGATGGTGCGAACTCCTGGCTTCCAGGCTGGTAGCAGCACCCCTAGCCCAGCAAAGCATGGTGCAGTAGAAAGAGTTCTGGGCTGGGAGGGAGAATATATGGGGTGTGGTCAAAATTTCTCTTCCTAACTAGCTGTGTGAGTTTGGACAAGCCCTTCAATTTTCCTGTCTCAGAAATTAGGCGTTAGATTAAATGACCTGTTCCTTTTTTCGGCTTTTGATTCTAAATCATCTCCATTATCCTGGCAATCACTGGAGGGCAAATTAGCACAATTATGATCATTATTCTCAATTAGTTGAACTGAAAGGTCACTTGGGGTGGGAGTGGGGTAAGTAATAATCTGCTCTTACTTGGATCGGACTCCTGCCTGATGAAGTTTTAGTTCCAAGCGTTCCGAGGCAGTGCTGCAAAGAGGCTGGCAGCTCAGGCTTCTCAGAGCCTGACCTCAGCTCCGCCGCCTCCATCCTGGGTGGGCAACGGGGGGCGAGTTGCTTCACCAGCCAGGCCTCTACTTCCCCATTTGTAAAATGGAATTAAGAATAGAACCCATCTCCATGTGTCATTATGAGGATTAAACAAAATCCATAAACTTCTTAGTTAGTGCTTTGCACATTTAAATACTCAATAAATGAGAATTGTGGTTTTCAGTTGAAGTTAACCTCATCTCTTCAAGGGCTCTGAACGATCCTGAGATAAATAAAGACACTCTGACATTCTGAAAACTGAAATCATTGTTAGAGTAATAGTTCCTCGTGCGTCCAAGAGCGGCTGCAGTTAACAGCATCCAAGCAGCCTGTGGCCTCTCCCGTAGAAGGATGATTTCAGTTCTTTGTTTAAAGATTCTCACAGTCCAAAAGCTCCTCCTAGTGCCATATGTAGCCCATAGTAGGCACTGTAAGTATCTGCTGAATGAATGAACAAACTCATGTCTGAGCTCTCATTCTTGGTGAGTGTACAGTATCTTTGCCAGATCAGATCTCGTTGGACACGGGGCAGCTTTGACCTTTGGACTCCATGGTCTGCTTGTGGATTAGTACCAAAATGGGTTACGTTCTCATTCACACATAAAGTGGTCTGGGAAAGGGATTTTCCAATAATAATTTTACCTCCATTCTGCCCACCTGTGGAATCACGCTCACGTACTCTCCCTTGCCAGAAGAGAGAGCAATGGGGAGCTGACAAGGGCAAGCCTGATGAGTTCTGGCTTTCTCTATGCACCAGTTCTTTGCAGAACTGGCAAGAAAAACATTTGAGCTCAGCCTAAGAGGACCCCCTGGATAACAACATAACACAGTCGAGTATATATGTCCCAGGGGTGCAGCCATCCTCTCCCCTTCTTTGAGAGGAACATGGCTCTCTGGGCCCCCACCGGCTCCAAGTCACTTTATTCCCAGCTGAAGCCCGGCTCTATCACTCTCCACCCTGACTCCTATGAACAAGGCTGGGCCTCAATTCAACCCTTGTTCCATAAACCTGACAGGCTGCCCAGAGCACATCAGATAAGAGGAAGTTATAGCTGGGCAGGTTGGCAAGGACTAACTTTATTTACCAGCACCAGCAAGGAGAGGCCATTTAAAGGTTTTTGGGCACCAGAGGAGCAAGGATGGGGCCAGTCAGTCAATGAATGAGGATAGCTGGACAGAGGCTGTGGTGAACTTGGAAGGCAAGCTCAAGCCTTGTCTCAAAAGGGCTCCCTCCTTACCTCAAGTCCATTGTCATCCGAGGAGACCAGAGATATCTGATATTGTGATTTTTCAAGTAACCTAAAATATAGACTTTTATTTGACATCTCGCTAAATTCTAATGACCGCAACTCATTTTTAAAAAGTGTTAAACATAAGTACGTATCTGCATAGGCCCCCAGTTTGTGACCTATGATGCACCTGGGGCCACCTGGCAGTGGGAGTGTAGGGTTTTCTGCCTCCCATACTAGGAGTAAAGCTCTGCACTGAGGACATCCAAGGCAACCAACCTCATGGTGGCGTGATCTCCAGGAAGGGGCAGCCCAGCATCTTTCTGATAGAATCGAAGGCACACAGGGGGCCCCTGCTTCCCTTCCAGGGGTTCGTCTAGAGGCAGCTCTCCCCACCTTCCGCTGGGATCCATTCACCTGTGCCTGGGACTGCGGCCTCGGGCCTGTCCCCAAGGGATGCCCTGTCTCCCTCCTGCCCACCCACTTTTATTTGGTTAACTCTTGTCTCTCAAGATTCGGACAATCTCTTTAAGGCAAGTTTTCAGTGACATCTTCCCTTCACAGTCTGGGCTATGTGTTCCCATGATACTCAGTTCTTTCTTCTGCCCTAGTCCTTACAACTCCAAATTTACAGCTAGTCTGTAGGCCGGGGACCTTGCCTGAGCAGTATTTGGTGCTTAGTAGGTGTTAGTGAATATTGGGTGAATGGATGAATGTCAAGGTTGCCAAGAATAGAGGCTAACAGATGAAAGGTAAGTAGATCAGGTGGAAGAAAAACATCAAGTCTATTCAGGGTTTGCCAGCCAGGGGTCCCAGCTCAAAGCAGCCAACCTGAGATTGCACTTTCTTAGGAAAACAATCCTTTGAATCTTGCAGGCTCTTAGGTCTTTAAACACCTGCCATTGAAATGTAAATATAACTTAAAGGGGAGTGGACACACTTTAAATTATAATATGGGAGAACCTTAGTTATCAATTAACTCCCTAAGTGGGTTTATCTGGAGAAAAGGCTGGGCCGCTGTCACGAAGGAACTGATGGAGGCGGCAGGAGAGAGAGGATAGACTGCAGCTACTGCACACCGATCCTGCCCTCAGGAGTCCTCCTTCCCAATGTCTTTGTTGGAGGCCAGCTTCAGGGAGGGGGAAGTAGCTCTGGGCTTAGGAGTTGGGAAATAGGGGCCCTAGCTTCAGGTCTGACAAAACTAGTGATAGATGTCTTTTCCTGGTCCCTTCCTCCTTCCCAGCCTCAGTTTTCTCATCTCTCGCCATTCCATTTGCACTTCCAGATGGAAAAGGAAAATCTCTGATTCTCAAGTTCACAGATGAGGACAATGAAGCCCGGGCAGAACCAGGGGGAGGTGGTGGGAACAGGCTTCAACCTTGGGTGTGTCTCACTCCAGCCCCCTGCAGCCTCTTCAGGACGCCTCCCCTCGACAATTCCACTGTCCTCTTGAAAACCTTCCTACCTCATGGCTTTTCAACATTTATACACATGGTTTAAAACTGCTCACAGTTTTACCACATATTTCTTACTCCAGAGCCTCTTAATGATATATACACATAGTTTATTGCTGTTCACACTTTTATAACAAATACAGTCAGCACATTTTCACGTATCACTTTTGGTTGATGTCTGGTGGCTTTGCAAGCTCAAGTCCCCTCTCCATGTGTTACCACATGCACCCCCCCATAGGAGGAACCATTGTCTTCTGTTTCTTTTTATTCTCCCATGTGCTGTCAACACAACTTGGCACAGGCAGTCTGGGTATACTGCCTGAGTGCACTGGCTGCTGAATGAAAAGATATGGGTTGAGTAAACCGTGATATGCTCACAAGTGGCTGTGGGATAAGTGCCCTCTCCTCTCTGCCCCGCTCCAACCCTCTCACTCCAGACATAAGAGGGAAAGTGCCTTATTTGGGAGTTTCCTAAGAAGGGGTGAGGGAGCCCTGTGAGCTGAACCCCGCTGCATACACACATAGTTCCCAGCACACGGTCTACACGCTAGCAGACATGCTCTTGGGTGGATGCTGATGGTAGGGCTTCATTTGATCATCCTGGTGAAGTCTGTTCCATCCTGAACCACAGCTACTTGGAATCATAAACAGTCAGTGGGCGGATATGGATGAAGATCTAGATAAATAAGTTTGGAAATAAAGGAGACGCATCTTTGGAATACGCTTTCACATAACACAGGCCGAGACATTGGTTAAGGATTCTGTCTTCACGCCTGGACCACGGGTTTAAATTTACATGGTCCAAAGACGATCAGATTCTCTGGCTGGGGGTGAGGAGGCCGTGGAAGGAAGGAGAGGAGCAGAGGCAAAGCCCTCTGCAGAGCCTCCTTTATGAGTGTTCTTGCTTTGGCTCTAGGAAGCTGGTGCTAGAGGGGGCTGATTCCTTTACAGTGGGGGTGGGAGTGAGGGCACATTTGAACAACTCAGCTGTCAGTTCTCAGCAGCTGCTGGGAGCCAAGAGAAGGGCAATTAAGTGTCAGAGCCCCTCCCCCAGTTCCTCTCGGCCAGCTCCTGTCAGGAACTCTTTCTTCTCTTGGGCAGAGCGTCCCCTTGCCAGCTGCCTGCTCCTCCAGGTGTTTCCTGTGCTCTCTTTGTTCGCCAGCTAGGTGGCTGAGGGTGGCGAGCATGACTCTGTTTTGGCTTCCTGTTAGCCAATGGCCACCAGTGTGGAGGAGGCCAGGCGCTCTGGTATCTGGGGAGAACAGACCACAACCAGCAGCTGCCTCCTGACACCTGCTTTTCTGAGAGCAGGTAAACAGTCACAGGCCCAAGGAGGAAGAAGGCTTCTTTGGCAGAGCAGGGGCTTCTGTTAGGTCAGACCAGAGGGAATCATTTCATGAGCGAAATGTCCAGAAGCTCCCCACTCCAATTCCCCTTTCCCCAAGGAAGAGGGCAAAGGCCCAATTGCCCCAGACTCTAATCCCTGCATGACAAGTGGAGGTGTGCTGGGTCACCCTCCACTGTAACCCCTGCCATGCAGTGGATGGCACTGCTTCTCAAGACAAAGGCCAAGAGTGCACAGAGGCCGTCTTGGCAAAGCCTCCCTTTCCTTACCTCACACCTGAAACAGCTGCACAGCCATGTTCACCAAGCCCCCCAACCCTAGCCAATTGGTGCAAGGACAAATGCTGTCTTGGGCTTCTCTCTGGCCACTCTTCCCAGGAAGGCAGGGCAGTGTTTGTGGTTCAGGTTTCTCCTTTGCAGTTGAAGCGACCCGCCCACCTGGGAGATGATCTTATTTATGTCTCCTGTAGGCCATTGGCTCCAGAGCCAAGCTGGCCCTTTCATCAAAAGGGCATGGTATTTCCAGGGCTTGCTTAGAGCTTGCACATGGTAGGTCCTCAGCAATGTTGTAAATGATAAATGAGAATGTTACCTCTTTTTTTTTTTAATCTTTTTTTGTGAGGAAGATTGGCCCTGAGCTAACATCTCTTGCCAATCTTCTTCTTTTTGCTTAAGGAAGATTGTCCCTGAGCTAATATCTGTGCCAATCATCCTCTATTTTATGTGGGATGCTGCCACGGCATGGCTTGATGAGTGGTACTAGGTCCATACCCAGGATCCAAACCTGTGAGTCCCGAGCCACTCAAGCAGAGCACGTGAACTTAACTACTATGCCATGGGGCCAGCCCCAGGAATGTTCCCTCTTTAACCCTTGTCTGCCTTTATGTTTGTGATGGACCAACAGAACAACACAGTAACAAATAGCACTAGTGACCACTCACCATGTACATGATCTCATTAAATTCTCAGAATAACTCAAGGGGCTGACATTATTACCCTTAGACTACAGAGGAGGAAATGAAGGCTCAGGGAATGTGAAACAATTACCTATGGGCACACTGCGAGTAAGTGGCAGAGTCAGGCTCAAATCCAGGAATGGCTGAACAAACAAAGGGGGAAAAAAAGAAAAATTAAGGCAAAACTGGACTTAGGGTTTCTTCTATTCTCCCTGTCACCCTCAGCCCTCTGGTTTTCTGGATTCCAATAACTTTTACACCAAGCCACATTTCACAGTGCAGATTGTTAAAAAAGGGAGGAAGTCTGGAATCTCAATCTTACATATTTTCCTGTGGAACACCCTTGCCATTTATCCTGGCCTTAAGTAATTTTATGAACCCTTCCAAACTATACAGGGAGTCACTGCCCCTCCCTGGTTCACGTACATGGAGTTCTGTGTGTGCATCTCTTCCTTGGATTTCTTTTTCATTTATACGTCATATTTCAACTTGAAGGTGAGGTTCTAGAGATCACCTCTGATCCTGCTCTGTCCACCACAGCATCTGGGTCTCACCCAGTACCTGGGGTAAGTTTGATAACAAAAAGGACTGGAGAACCACAGAGTCTAGTCTACACACTTCAGGGCGCCCCCCTCTCTCTTTCTCTTTTTCTCTCTCTCCTTTGCACTTTGCCTCCTTCTGGGTGGAGAAATCTCAAGCCAGTGGAGACACACCAGCCAGATGGATTGCTTCACCCTCAGCAGCTGATTCCCCAGCCCTGGTGCAAAACACAGAAGCTCCTTGTGTTCACTGTGACCCAATGCCTTTCTGACTTGGGCCTGCTAAGGGTGAAGCCTTAGGTCTCAGCAGCTTCTCTTGTTTTCACAAAAGGAGAATAATCTCCCTGTCACAGTCACTGCTTGACCAATAGGCTTTTCCCATGGATCCTCCCAGGTGGAAAAAAAATGGAACACTAATTGTGTCCTGGGATGAGATTCAAAGATACCTAGAAAGGTGGAAAAGGATGTAAAAGCACTTGTTAAGATGTTATTTGAATGTGAGGGACTGAAGTGGATCAGTGCTGGCCTTGGAGTCCAGGGTCTATATCTGGGGTCCAGCACATGGCCAGCTGTTTATGGCAGCTTGAAGGACATTTTTATGGTTTTGAGCTTTTAGCCTTCTGTCTGGCAGGCAGGCAGTGGGTATCCTGGAGTAAGGGCCCCCTTGCGTCCAGAGACGGGTCCTTGTGAGAAGCACAGAGTGAGGGAGGGCAGAGAAGAGAGTTTTTGTCCTCAGGGTGCTGCCAGTCCAAAGGAGGTGGTGGGAGGATTATGTGCTAGAGTTCATAAAATACTGATGACGCAGGATTAAATGCAAACCAATGGAATTACACAGAACAATATGTTATACATAAGTAAGTGCTCAGATTGTTGCCAAATGGAAATGATCAGAGATGGGTGACGTTAACTTAAGGAAGGATTGGGAAAGAGAGGTGTTTTGAGAAATGCCTTTATCTTATGCCAGAGAGAAGGAACCCAAACCAGCTCTGGGCACAGGCACTTTGGCAGACACAAACAACAAACAGGAGGTCAGGTGGGTGGGTGGAAGCACAGGGCATGAAGCCAGGTAGGAGGAGAGCTGTGAGCTGTGTTTCCTGGGCAGCCACTCTGCTCCCCCTGCCCCCGGCCCTTCACCCCTGCACCACCAGCTCAGCCCTTCTGCATGAAGAGCAATGGGGAGTTCAGCCCAGAAGAACGCCTGCCTGTGGCCTCAGAATCCTAACTCTGCATGTGCTACACGTTTTACTGTCTTAGGACAGAGGGAATGGCTCCCTTTTATTCTGAATTTATTGAGATCCCTTAGCACCTTAGAGTTCCCATTAATCCTCCCCATTCAGACTGGGCTGATGTTGGAAGGCAGAAGGAAAAGGGAGACAAAAATCAGAGATTCAGGAGACTAGTGGGGCAGGGGGAATCTCTAGCCCTGCTCTCTAAAAAGAGATCTTTGCATTGCCCTAGACCTTTCTGGTCTCAGTCGCCTCACAAAATAATACATATGAAGTATTTTGGAAAGGTTTAAAGTGCCATGCCCACCACCCTCTGGGAAGTACTGGTGTGGGGAAAGTGAGAGTCCTGCCTTACATTGCACAGCCTCTCCTGTTCACAGGGCACTGGATCGATCGCACACCAGCTTACTCTCTGCCATGCTGGCAGGCAGAGGTGGTGGGTGATTATACCTCCAATTTACAGAGGAAACTGGTGCTCAGAGAGAATAGATGGCTTGCCGAGAATTACATGACAAGCAGATGGCAAGCTGAGAGTGGAAGCCCGATCTTCTGATTCCTGGTCCGTTCCTTTCCACCTAGCTTCTTAATGTTTGAGGGCACACATGGGTTATTTTGGTGAAGTCTCATTCCAGAACGACTCAAACTTTATTATGTAATGTCAGAACACCCAGATTCCTCTATTCTCTACCTGTTTCCAAGACCTTGGATTTTTTTCATTTAACCCTGTTTCTGAAGAGATGGAACAACACCCAGCCAAGGGATTTTTGCCTAACGAAAGCCTCAAGGCACAAAGCCCCACACTACTGCAGGGCAGCACAGCTGCCCAGAGCAAGGCCTCCCTTCCCGGGGCCCTGGCCCTGCACAGAGCTGGCCAGAAGCCCAGGGGGAGCGTGGGGCAGAGCTCCTCAAAGGAGGACAGATGGACAGGCTGGCCCCGGTGCCAGCACTTTGAACCTTTCTGATTTCCAGCCAAATTTCCAGCCAAATGTCCAGCATAAGTTCCCCTCTGGGCTCCTCCTCCCTGGCAGCCTCCCCCCATTCTGTCTTTGGGCTGGCTCTGAGGAGCCTATGAGCTCTGGAGGGATGAGGGCTGTTCTCCTTTATGACTAGGAGATGGATGAAAGGAGGCTGGCAACTGGTGTGGGGCAACTATTGCCATCTGTCTGGTGGGACATCGCCAGGGAGGGTCTCGCCCACTCACTCCTTCACCAGCTGCTGGGCTGGAAAAGGAGTGCTGCGGTGGGGCAGCGGATGAAAAAAGCAGCAGCTTCTTTGTGTCTGGACCAAACTTTCAGTGAGTCGCTAAGATAATACACAGGAGGAAGCCGCCCATGCCCCAAACCACTCAAATGATGGACAACCTCCAGCCCTCCCCTCATTTCACACCTCTCCTCCTCCGCCTTCAGCCAGACAGCTTCCCAGGGTCAGAGGGAGTGTCCCCAGCTCCTTGCAGGGATGAGGAGCAGGAAAAGCCGGCCTGGTCCTCTGTCCCCATCCCTTTCCCAGCTTGAGGTAGCTCTGGTATCTTCCTCCCTCCCCACCCCTCCCCACCCCCATTGGTCCCTTACAGCTCTTCTTTTTGTTTGGTTTCTGCAGACTAGGTCTGGAGGGCCGGGAGGCCAAAGCAGAACAGGCCCAGCAGCACAGCTGAGCAGGAGAAGAGAGGAGCTGAATAGAGGCTCCTTAGAATTCCCCCAGCCTGGTGGGGCTGGCAGCCCTCCAGCCCCTGGTCTTTGAATAACACTCCGGGCCAGGGGCTGGGATCAGTGTGGGGGAAGCTTTGGGGCATTTAACTATTTAAAGGTCTCAATAAAAGGAGCTAAGTCCCTGGGAAAGGGGGAGATTAGCAGATGGCGTGCCCAGGAGCCGGGAAAGGGGTGCAGAGTAGGCAAGGATGGGGTGGAGGAGGGAGGAAGGGCCGAGTAAGAGAATGGGGGATGGGAAGGGAAACAGAGGTTGCCCTCCACAGCCAAGCATGCCCTGTGTAGCCTTTCCCTACACCAGCTGGGGGCAGGGGCTCAGCCTCTGCGTCCTGTAATCCTGCCCACCACCTCCAACTCAAAAATACATGTCTGCCCTAAGCGAGATCCATTTTGGAAACACAATGAAGCTGTGAAGTGTGAGGCATCACCCCTTCACCTCTCTTCTGGCACCTGGTGACCAGGACTAGGCAGATGAGTGAGATTTTCTCTGGTTTCTTTTCATTCATTCATTCATTCATTTATTGAGGAAGATTAGCCCTGAGCAAACTGCTGCCAAGCCTCCTCTTTTTGCTGAGGAAGCCTGGCCCTGAGCTCACATCTGTGCCCATCTTCCTCTACTTTATATGTGGGACACCTGCCACAGCATGGCTTGCCAAGCAGCACGTATGTCTGTGCCCGGATCCAAACCGGCGAACCCCGGGCCACAGAAGCAGAACACGAGAACTTAACGGCTGTGCCACCAGGCTGGCCCCTTTTTTGTTGTTGATGTGGTAAAACTCATATAACATAAAATTCACCATTTTATCTGGTTTCATTTTGCATGGTGAGGCCATATAGTGATTCCGTGTAATGCCTGAGAAGGCAGATAATTGGAGGGCCTGCTCTTGCTTCAAAAGGCAGCCCATTCTAGCCTTTTGTCTCTAAGAATACTGCAGGAAGGGCTACACTTGAAGAGTAAGGTCAGAAGGGGTCCCTAGGGAGAAGCATACTACCTGCATTCAATTCAGCTCGGCCATTTACTAGCTCTGTGACCACAGGTAAAAGGTTACCTAACTTATCGAGGCCTCAGTCTTCTCATTTTTAAAATGAGGATAAAGGGGCCCACCCAGTGGAGAAGTGGTTAAGTTCACATGCTCTGCTTCGGGCCCGGGGTTCACCCTTTGGATCCCAGGTGCAGACCTACCCACGGCTTGGCAAGCCATGCTATCGCAGGCAGCCCACAAATAAAATAGAGGACGATGGGCACAGATGTTAGCTCAGGGCCAGTCTTCCTCAAAAATAAGTAAATAAGTAAGATCATTTGCATAAAAATAACTGATTCTGATTTTAAAAAGTTCAGTGAATTAAAAATAAAAGTGGAAAAAACTGAGGGTGAAAAATAATTCCCCCTCAGTATTGTTGAGGGGACTGACTAACATCCGTGATGCGCTTGGAAGAGTTCCCCTCTTGGTAAGCACACAACAAACGTTATTAAATATTATTGTGACCATTACCAGCTCAGGAGGCATTTACACAGGCCACACATGGAAAGAGAGAAGCCGGGCACTTCGGAGCTGGGTACGAGGCCACAGGAGAATTCTGCCAGGGGACATTTGCTTCCACCCTTTCTCCCCTTTGTAATGGGCCGTGGTTGGAAATGAGGTCTTCACTGCTCCTAAAGTAACAGTCCTGTGGCGGTCGCCCCCTTTCCCAGCGGGACCCCTCCCCTGCCAGGCTGCCCAGAGCCAGGTCCTCAGGCCAGGCCGCTTCCGACCCCGCCTCGCGGCAGCCTGGGCCCCATCACGAGGCCTACACTGCTGATGGAGTGACCACCTCAAGTATCTTGAGATTTGATTCTTCTGCCGCCTGGGGCTTTTCCTACTCTCTCTAGTCCCTCCCAGGCTGCAAGGTCACCTGGCATGAGGTGGTCACTTGGTCACTCTGGCGCACACACTGCAGGACAGCATCTTTGTTGGCCCGTCCTCATTTCTTGGTCTGGTGGGCCCCGCACGGGTGAGTGGCGTTCGTTTTCCGCACCTTCCAGAGGAGGCACGTCTCCCGTCCTCCACGTGCCTGGGGGACGACGGTCTCACCTTCCGGCAAGGACAGCCGAGGCCTCGCCGCGCTGGCCCAGGAGCCCGGCCGCTGCGGGGCGGGTGGGCGGGCGCGGGCTCCCGGGCTCCGTACACGGGCGGGGGGAGGAGCCCTCGGCCGGCCCCACTCACCGCAGCCCGCCCGGTGAGCCCGGCCCCGCGCAGCCCCGCCCCCGCAGCGCCGCCTTGGCAACAGGCTGGTGATTGGCTGGCGGGGTCTGGAAGGGCCAATCAAAGCCGGCCCTGGCGCTCGCGGTTTGGCCGAGGAGAGTGAACCGAGGGGCGGGGGCAGCGGCAGGTTGGTTCCGCAGGCCGACGGGAGGCAAGGGCACCGGGCGAGGCGCCTGGAGTCCCTGCTGCCGGCCGCCTGCTGCCGAGTGCCCCGTGTCCCTAAAGCTTCGGTCGCTTCCCCGTTTCTCAGGCCCAGCCTCAGCCGTTCTTAAGCAGTTCTAGAGGTTCTGGGTTTCTGAACCTCGAACACTTCCCAGTCCTCTCTCCAAAGACCCTGTGGCTTTGGGCATTTATTTCCCCAGCTTTGTCACGCAGTGGGGGGAGGGGCCCTCTTCCTCCTCTTCTTGGCTGTGGGTGCTCGCCCTCCTACGGCGCGTTACCTGAGCCTTCCTCTCCGTTAGCCATCATCCATCTTCTAAAAGCAAAGTAACCAGCCACTTCATAACGCTGGACCTCTTGGCTCCAGCCTCCTATCCTCTCACAGAGGATGCATTTCCTGAGGACGTAGGCTGTAAGGTTTGTAAGAGATAGTATCTTGAATAACTTTGTTTCTGCACCCCAACACACACAAACATGCGCACGCATAGAGACTCAAAGGACCTACAATGGTAGCGTCGAGATTAAAATTAGAGCCAGGTGGCCCGGGTTTGACTCTGCTGCTTACTGGCTGCGTAACCTTGAGCAGTTAACCTCTCTGAACTGCAGTTTCTTCTATGAAAAATGCTAATGACACTAGCTTCTACCTCCTAGCATTATTGTGACAAAATGCCTGGCACATAAATGCCTGATAAACGATATTATTTTAGGTATTGATTACGAAGGAATGAGTCTTCCTTTCCCACATTTAATCTTAGCCCTCCATTCCTGGTTTGGCTGGTATGGCTAACGCTAGATTCCAGGGACATTTAAAATTCCTATCAGTCAAGCAGTATAAGACTCAGACTAAAACCGTGTAGTCTTAAAACCCCCAGCCCTAGCATGGGTCCTGCTTTTAGATCATGGATTTTGCCAAGGGAGAGATCTCTTGGCAAGACAGGAATCCTCTTTTCCTCAAGGACTTTTCTTCAAATTGCTCCCACTCAAAAGTTACAGAACAGCAGTATCTGAGGATTTACAATAAATCTCTTTTTTTTTTAAATATTGGCGCCTGAGCTAACAGCTGTTGCCAATCTTCTTTTTTTTTTTTTCTGCTTTTTCTCCCCAAATCCCCCTAGTGCATAGTTGTATATTTTAGTTGTGGGTCCGTCTAGTTGTGGCATGTGGGATGCCGCCTCAGCATGGCCTGACGAGCGGTGCCATGTCCGCGCCCAGGATCCGAACCAGCGAAACCCTGGGTCTCCGAAGCAGAGTGCACGAACCCAACCACTCGGCCACGGGGCTGGCCTCAATCAATCCCACTTTAATAGGATTTAATATTGTCCTTGTTTCGTGAACTCATGGACTGCCCTACCTGATCTCTCCACATACCTGCATTAACACCAAGATGTGATTATAAGTTTTTCCCAAACTCCTCTCCTGAAGTCCTTTCTTGTCTCCAGAGACTCATCTCTTCAGCAGTCTTTGCCTCTCCCGCAAACACTACAAACTGATGCATAAGTTTTCTTCAGTGAACACAGGGACTGGCAATGCAGTGCTCACAGACACCTGGTGGCCATTCCAGCTCTAGCACCTGCTGGGTCCTGTTGATGTCAGAAGTTGGCCTTTGTTGATGTTTTGCATTGTTAAGAACAAAAGTAATGATGTGTTGAGGGACACCTCAGTGGTGCCAATGATGGGGACAGGGAGGAGGGCAAGGAGCACACAGCATTGGGGTATGGTTCATGGGGAGCCAGGAGACCTGTTTCAGTGTTGAGTCTATGCCGTTTAGGGCAAGTTGATCCAAAGTGGTAGGTCTCAATTATCCTATCTGTAGAATGGGGTGAATCATACTTGTCTCCTTACTGTATAGATATTTTAGGAAAAGAAATTAAGTCATACGATTGAAAGCACTTTATGTTTTTTGAAAAGAAAAAAAGATGGGTTTGTGCGTGGGAGGGGGTAATGGGCTATTAAATCCATTCATGGCACTATTTTCACTGGGCCCAAAAGAATATGATCCAACAGATGTTATTAAAAACTTATGAACCCAGCTCTGTGCTAACTGTTGTGGGGTATGTGGAGGAGTCATATGACATGATCTCTACCTTTAAAGAATTTACAGTCTAGCCCATTGCTCAGCTGACACGTGAACATTGATGTGTGGCACTGACTGTGGGTTTATAACAATGATCCCCACCCTATCCTATTCTTTTCTACAAGGAAAGGATAATCTGGTGATGTGACAATGGAGCCCAGAGGTGGATGTGCCCTACTCAGACCAGCACCACTGCTGGCCTCTTCCCGCTCCCTTTCTGTCTTTGGCAAGGCATGGGGTCTTACAACCATCCTCACTGCTGCCTTCACCAGTGCTCGTGAGTCGTGGCCTGAGGCCTTGTGACCTGGCCTTGGGGGGATGCCAGTGCATTCGCTGGGGCCTCCTCTGCTGCTCATCTTTGATACTGCCTTTCTCCTACAGTCATGTAGGTACCTGTTCCTGATGCCTTCTCACCTGCTCCCTGCCCCTGCTGCTGGTTACAAATGCATCACAGCCACTGTAGCTGCAGCAGCTGCTCTGGAATGGGCTCTGGGTGACACTGGGGGCGCTGTCCCCACCTCTCCCGTGCTAGGCAAGAGCGGCCACCTCGCTTCCCCCTTCCACAAGAAGAAGAGTTCTCCTGTCTGCATTTGCCCCCAGGCCAGGTAGCCTAGAAAAGAGGCAAGGTGGGCTTTTCCCACAGCACAGAGGCCTGTGCCCCCTTCAGGAACTCCCCCAGGCTTCTTAGTGGAAGGAGCTGGTCTGGGACGCGGCAGAGGACCGGTACTGTTGCTGCGGGTCAGCAGATCCCAGCTCCAGATTCCCAGTGATGGGCTGGTAGGTTTAGCTCTATTTCTTCTGTGTTTTTTTTTTTAAAGGTTGGCACCTGAGCTAACTACTGTTGCCAATCTTTTTTTTTCCTGCTTTTTCTCCCCAAATCCCCCCAAAGTTGTATATTTTAGTTGTGGGTCCTTCTAGTTGTGGCACGTGGGACGCCACCTCAGCATGGCTTGATGAGCGGTGCCATGTCCGTGCCCAGGATCTGAACTGGTGAAACCTGGGCCGCCGAAGAAGAGTGCACGAACTTATCCACTCGGCCACAGGGCCGGCCCCCAGCTCTGTTTCTTTTGAGAATTGCCAACAAAACTGAGCGTAACTTCTGAAAAGGGAAAGGTCAGTGTAATTGCTATCATCTTGAAAATAAAAGATAGGACATGCCAATTAAAATAAAAATCAATAGCGAGTCTCGCCCAGCAGACTGCCAGAATTACTGAAGTCTGGGGATGGGGGATGGGCTCTCATGCGCCACGGTGTGAGTGGACGTGTGTGAGTCCCCTTTGGAGAGCAGTGTGACGGCATCTAGTAAAGGTGCACTCTTCACCCTTCCCAGCTCAGCAGTTCTCTCCTAGGCACGGGTAGCAGTGGTTCTTAACTGGGGGTGCTTTTTCCCCCTAGGGAACATTTGGCAACTCTGGAGACATTTTTTCTTTGGACTGGGGAGGGGGCAGTGCTACTGACTTCTAGTGGACAGAGGCCAGGGATGCTGCTAATCATCCTACCACACACACTGGTTCGCTCGGTCCTCCCCGCCGCTGTCCAGCAAAGAGCTACCCCGACCCGAACGCCGAGAGCACAGCGCTGAGAGAGCCTGGTGTGCGCCCAGGCTCGGTGCCGGCCCAAGGCAGGGGAAGGATGCTTTATTTGTTTTCTGCATTATTTGTTTCTATCAGTAAAATACTGAAAATGATCTAAATGTTTCTCAAAAGGAGAACAGAGAAATAATTTCAGGTGTATCATACAGTAGTTAGAGTGAACGACCTGGAACTCCAAGAATCAATACGGGTGAGTCTTGAGCACATAATGTGCAGTGAGAACAGCAGGGCGGTCCACAAAGCACTGCTGTGCAAAGTTGAAGGACACAAGCAACTGTGCTTCACTTATGGATACGAAAATATGTAATAAAATGATAAAAAGACAAGCTCGGAAGCGAGTTCATCTATGCATCTATGTCAGGTCTGGAGTTTTGCAGCTCCTGCCTTGGAATAGCTCTCCCCTCACCTTCTTGTGCAAACTGCCCTTGTTGGCCCTAGTGTCTGCCTCAGCTCTCCCTCCCGAACTGCCAGCTGAGCCCGGCACTGATGGCGTATATCGGTCATAGTCCCAGCCTATCTCCAGAGCCATATTTTGGCAAGATCTGCAGCTCTGTAAGCTACCTGTAGAGGAGAGACACGGATTATTGGGGTAGAATGCTGTCTGCTGGTGGGTTTTAGGAGGGATTAAGACTAACCCCACCTGCTTTTCAATGCTTTTGCTTGTGTAGGTAGGTCTTCTTATCTCCTCTTGAGACTCTGACCAATTTCCTGTTATTATTTCTTAAACCAGCTCACGTGTAATTTCGTCTGTTCTCTTCTAAGCGTAGCTGGCAACCCAGACACGTGGGTGAGAGCAGCTCATTTATCTTTAGTGTTTGCACTTCCTGTTGGAGCCCAGCATAAGTGGGCCGGGCGTGCTTAGTCCTGTGTCCCTTTCAGCCCTTCTGAGCTAGTTTCTCCTCTTCTTCTGCTCCCTGGGCCACGAAGGTCAGCCAAGCACTTGGTTCAGTGTACCGTCCCGCGTTGCATGTGGTGTTTTGGTCAGTGACAGACGGCATGGACGACAGAGGTCCCATAAGATTAGTACCACACAGCCTAGGGGTGTGGTAGGCTGCACCATCCAGGTTTGTGTGAGTGCACTCTATGATGCTCGCGTGACGGTGAAATCAGCTAACGCCACATTTCTTAGAAAGCATCCCCATTGTTAAGCAACGCACCTCTGTGTCATGTCAGCCTTCCTCACGTCACACGTGGGCTCTGTCCCCAAGGCACGGCCTAGTTTCCGGGAAGGATTGCTGCTCTGGAAACTCGGGCTGCCATGGGATTGAGCCATGTGTTTGCTCCCTCTGGTCACCCGAGGCTCAGTCAGCAGTGGGAGCCATGTCTGCCAGCTTCCATCTGTCTGTCTGAGGCAGAGGACTTCCTGGGAGAGTCTGAGCAGGTCTACACAGAAGACTGAGTCTCCTGATGGCACACTTCTGCCTGGGCCCTGCGCTGGGGCGCCGTGGGGTGAAGGGCTGAATAAAGGAGTGCTTCCCATTCCCCAGGGAGAGGCTGTGTGCGGCTGCTCCTGCAGCCTTCCACCCCAGCCCTCATTATTCCTTTCTCTTTAAAAAGAATGAAGAGACATTTTGTCCCTGTTGCTCCTTCGGCACTTACATCAAACTGCCTCAGGGGTTCTCAAAGCAACTGAGTGTCTTTTAAAGGGCTGAGGCAAAATACATGTTAGTTGTTATTATCTCCACCAGACTCCACAGCAAGTTCTTGGAGAGCATCACCTTCATTTGTTGATATCCTAAATGTACCAACTATTGACACATTATCCGGCTCAGGGTTTTGCATACAGTATAAATTTGTTGAATGATTGAGCTGCCCTCACAGAGAGAAGACCGTGATTTGCCTTCCCTCTATGATGCATCTGTCTGTCTGTCTTTTCATGACTTAACTTAGAGGGGGCCCATGAACTTGGATGAGAAAACACTTTCTCTTTTTCAGTTAACTGAAATTTAGCATCCGCTTCAATTATGAAGGTAACAAATCACCGCTGTATGAGCAGTACCCGAGGCTTTGTCACCAACTGAAATCACAGATATTTTTATGTCGCATTACAGTTGTTGAAAATACTTCCAAATGCCATTTATGTTCATCAGGACTTTGAAAGGACTGTAGTTAATTAGACTTGTTGCTAGATCTTGTCGTTTGTTGCATTAATAAACAAACATACATACTACACAAAAATTTATATATTCTATATTTTTATAACTGTATTTCACTTTATTTGGTTTCCTTTGGAATCCTATGTATGTTAATCTATGCCTTTAAAAACATTTTGAGAAGAGGTCTGTAGGCTTCAGCAGACTGCCGAAGGGGTGCACAGCACACGAAGCTCAAGACCCTGCTCCCGCTGTGCCTCCTGGTGCCTTGATTTTTGGCAGGTGTCCAGGGGCTGGGGGCCCATGAGAGCAGGTTGGGGAAGGTAGGCTGGACTGAAGCCTTTCAAGGTTTCAAAAGAGTCTCTGATGGTGCGAAGTGAGATGCTGTTTACTAGCGGCTGGAAGACGGAACTGTGAGATTGTGTATAACATGGGCCACTGGTTGGGGAGTTCAGGATATGGTACAGTTTCTTGGTGCTTGTGTCTGAAATAAGAGAATAAAGGCAATAGATGGTTTAACCCCTGCCTACACCTCCAGCCTCTCTGCAAGAGGCCTGTGGTTAAAGTTATATTTCCTTCTTATCTGTGTACACACTTACATTCCTGCTTCAAAGAATTATAATCAAATTAGTTTACTCTGGCTTGAGATGGTGTTGTAACGTTTGTAACATGCTTGGCACAGAGTATCAGTTGTTATTTCCCTATCAGAAAGTAGTGGATTGTCCGGAAGCTCCTAACTTATACAACATTTGCTAAGCCCCTGGCACAACATCTGCACTTAAAGACTTCCCAGAATCATCCATTGAGGAAATGAATGAAAGAACGATGGGCAGCTGAATGCTCATTTTCCTCTTTCAGGCCCAACTGCCAAGGCTTGGCAGTGCTTGACAGCTCTCAGTTCTGGTCAGTTGCCACTAGAGGGCAGGAGCAGTGAAGACGGCAATACACAGGACCCACCAGACCCCAGAATTACTGGATTGACAAGGGAGGGTGGTCCAAGGAGAAAAGTGTTAAAATGATTGGAAAAACCCAGTTGTTCTTTATCTCTTGGGGACCAAATGGAAGGAAATGTGCAGCTGGTGGGATAGAAGTTAGACTTAAAGAAGAACTTTCAGAGCACAAAATTTGATAACTAGAGCTTTTAAACAGGTGACTATTTTTTAACCCCTTAGCTACATCTAACCAAGCAGAATAGATGAGAAAGTGGGCCCTTCCAGCCCGAGGCCTATGTTCCCCTCTGGTGCCCTCAAAGTAACCCTTCTGTGTCTGCCTTAAATAACTCCATTCTTGCGGATGCAATCGTAAAATAACTTTATTGGTCGTAGGCCACCATGCATGCTTTTCCTGTAATCAGGATCCTTTATAGAGGCATGATGGCGTCCACATGCAGATGCTTTTGGAAGAGCCCTGGGGCTGGGGCGGCTGGCCCTGCCCCTCGCGTCAGAGCTCCCTTGTTGAATGAGCTGGTTTGGCTTTTGTGGATTTCAGGGTCTGGAGCCAAGAACATAGTCCAAGGATCCCCTACTTCGCTTCTCAGGGAAGCTGCCTCAAAGCATACCCAGTATCCGGGACGTGACAGCATCTGGGCAGGGACCAGACAAGGGCTCGCTCTCCTCAACCGGTCCCTGCCCCTGGCTCTGTCCCACTGGAGCAGGTGGGTTGTGCCCCAGGCAACAATACCTTCAGAAATGGGAAGAATTAATTGTTCTGCAGCCAAACTGTAAAGCAACAGGCATCTTCAGTGATGAGGGCGTAGCTCAGAGATGTGAAAGCAGAAGGTTTCCTACTCAGTGCAGGCAAGATGTGGCTGCCTGGCCTGGGCTTCACAGGCCCAGTGAGCATCTCCGGCCAGAGCTGGTACTTTTAACTGTGGCCTTAGGACAAATCAATTAATAAGAAGAACCACAGCCTCCTCCTTTGGGCTAGCAGGCAAGCCCAGGGCTGGCTGGAGTCTGTCTCTCCTATCAGGATGTGGGCATTTCTGCTGGGAGGAGAGGACAAGCTACCTTCCTCATGCTTTGAGAACCACATGGCCTCTGCCTTTGAGGATAAAGACCCAAGTAGGAGCTGCTGGGAATGCAGAGAGTGCTGGACGAGAATGAAACCTGGAGCTGCTTCCTCAGGTTAGCTGATTGGGGGTGGTTTGCCCCACTACGGATGCTGATGATCAGCAAAGTCTGGGCTTTCCTCTTTTGAAGCCTGAGCCATTTTCAAAGAACTGCCCAAATGCTAAAATATAGCTCCATACATTTATCTACGCCTGAGGTTGGTTGCCTCCTCCCCCATCAGGCCCTGAATATTGTCATCATACTGGTGACCCCCAATCTGGCGGTTTTCAAGAGGAGAGGTTAGGGAGGCATAGAGGTGACTCTTGGTGTGCTTCCAACCTCAGACACAAGTACGAGTTCTCTGCATAGGCTGCTGGGCAGAGAACATGCCTGGGGTCTCCTGCTTCTGTCTAAGGCTTAAGCGTTGTGGAGCGAGACAGTGCGGAGGTGGACTTAGGAGGAGGCTGTTGGGCAAGAGGTATATTCTGAGGAGCAGCAGTGGGAGCCTCGACCATCTGCACTACCAGCCCGCACGAGAGGGCTGTCCAGCGCTGCTCACAGAGAGTCAGGGGTGGTTGGAAAAGTACAAGGACGTATTATTGCCCGAGCAACTTTTAAAGTTCACGACACCAGATCAGTGGGCAGTGAGATTTCTGGGGTTGGGACCTCCAAGGATTACTCCCTCTGCCACCACATCTGTCTGGAAAAGAGCGCTTCGGTCGTGTCCCTCAGCAGAAGCTGCCTGTCCCCGCATCCCACCTAAGCCCGCCTACAGGGAAGAAGCCTGTGGAGGGAGCCCGTGGACTTCTGTCACATGATCTGTCCCAGACCTTCCAGCAAAAGCCAAACCAAAGTATCAAGCCAAATGCAGTGGGGTGGGGGCTGTGGGCCGCGCCCGCGCGAGGGCCGCTCAGATCTCGATGAGGCTGGCGAGGCGCAGGCAGAGGGGCGCGTCCGCGGGCATGGCGCTGCGCTTGATCTCGTTCCCGTCCAGGCGCAGCACCTGCAGCTTGGAGAAATTCATGACGTCCACCACGGTGCAGAAGCTGCTGATGGAGAACTCTGTGGGGACAAGAGGGCGGGGACGGTGGGAGAAGCCCAGATCAGGGACCCGGATGCACATTGAGGCTAGTCAGACTCTGTGAAGCTGCTTAAATACTAGTGATGTGCGGGGTGGAACTGGGCTGGGAGGGGCAGGCGTTCTCCAGGAGAGGAGTCATACCGACTTTCACCACTGGGGGGCGGAACTAGGGGCAGAGGGGGCCCTGCCTGCGTCTGCGCTCAGCCTCCTGCCGCCCCCCAACCTGTGCATTGCTCTGCAGACCCTGGATGTCCTTGAGTGTCCTTCCAGCCAGCGCCTGGTCTTTTCCCATTTGTGGGCAGCAGGGGGAAGCAGAGGGTAGTCAAAGACCAGCTCTAGCAGCTTTGAAGTACTTGATTGGTTTTGGAGGAGGGCTTTGCTGAATTGCTGTGAGAAGGAAGATCGAGGAAATGGAGGGACTTAAATCTGGAATATCTTCTGCCACTGTGCAGATAGAGAAAGTGGCAGGAAATTAAAACGAGAAAGCCTGGGCCGAGAGACAAGCGTCTTTCCGTGCCAAGCTGTCGGGGGTTGCCCGGCTCCCTTCCGAGTACTGCCAAGGAGTGAGCAAGGCTCTGAGGTTCAAGGAGAAGGAAATTCATAGACGAACGGGACTGCTATGGACCTCAAAAGTCAAACAGATAATTCCCTCGCCTCTTGCATTTTATATGATTACGGTTTGCCTTTTCAAAAGAATTCCCCCTTTTTGAAGCTTTCCCCGCAAACCATGTAATCCTAATAGATAGAATAATTCTGCTTGGTTTTAGCATAAATCCTTCTGCTGCCTTTCACCCCGTTCCAACTCTGGTTGTCCTCTTGGGCAAATCAACCACCATGGTCTCGAGTCTACTGGGTCAGGAACTTGAAAGGGGAAAAGCCAAGAACTCAGCTAAAACTCCAGCAGAGATGGCAAATGTCACCACCGGGAAGCGGCTGCCGCCTCTGCAGGCTGCCCTCACTGTGGTGCATGAGGCTTCAGGAAGGTGCTCCTGTGAAAGGGGCTTGGGGGAAGTTACCCATTGTGCCCTCAGGGGAAGATGGCTCTGGGACATCTGGAGGGCCGATATGCCTGGGCAGACCCAGAGCTGGGCTGGCTCTGCTTCCACTAGAGGCCTTCCTGCGCTCGTCCAGTGGGGGAAGCTGTGTTGCCAGAGCTGTGCGTGGAGGGTGGGAGCAGGCCTTGCTGACTCTCTCCCAGAGGGATGTGGAGGGTGGCCCGGAGGGAGAGGTTATACGTGTGAAAATGAAGGTTGCAAGGAAGACTGCATGGAAAGCTTGAATAGGCTGATGAAGAAAGTGGTTTTAAATTAGCTCTATCAGTTGTTTCCACTGTGTGTTAAAAACTGACAAAGTGGGATGGGGTGAGGCTGCAGACAGTTAACTTGTACTGCAAACGTGAGACCGAAGATCCAGACCCAGAGGATGACGAGACACGGAGAGTGGAGGAGATCGGGAATGCCCTTCTTTGGAGAGCGCTTGGAGTGGGGAGGAGATCTGGAATGTCTCCTTTCTGGTCCTAAGGAAGAGATCAAGTGGCCTCCAAGTGAGCAGGTGGGGCAGAGCCTCGGCTGAGGCTGGTCTGCAGTGTCTGTATAAAAGATGGAGTGGGGCAGAGAAATACAGTGGCCCAGCCTCAGCACCACTTCCAGCCCTCTTTGGGACTGTGCTAGAGGTTCTGTGATAGAGTCTCTCCCCACACCTGGAGCCCTCAGACCGTCTGTGAAAGTCCTGCATCCCAACTTGGCCTGGATAAATATGGGGGATCCTTGTGGGCTGCTGGCCACACCGTGTACGTAGATTCTGTCCCCACACCGGACACTGTGAGCCCTCCTGTTTATCTACCCCAGCTCAGGAATAACAGAGGGCTTCTGCTTGGAAACTCTACAGGACATTTTCCAGCCCAGATTAAATACTGACATAAGTCTTTCCAAATTCCTCCTCGTATACCCGCCCTGCTCCACTAGGTCCCAAAGCTACTGAAGAACATTCCGGGCTGTGTTCCTTTGCTGTTGCCAGGCTGGAAAAACTGAGAGAGACACTAATGGAAGAAGAAAGGTGGGGGGAGAGGACTGCGCCTGATCCCGCTGCGCACCCTTTAGCTCCTGTCCTTCTTTGAGCTCCTCCCTCAGGGGGTTGTTTCAATTCCACCTTCACCCCCCGCACCCCTGGGCCCTCACAATTGCCCTATGAGAGCAGGCTGAGCTGGGGGCACTGTCTTTCCTGCTGGCGGTCTGAATCAGAGAGAGAGTCCTCACGTTCTCAGGCAGAGACAGCTGGCTCTAGGTCCCTGGATATGGAAGGTGGGGCTTCAGGGTTCTAAACTACATGGTCTGGGTGACATGAAAAGATTGCTTTTCCTTCTCTGTGTCTCCATTTCCTCATCTTTGCCATGCAAAAAATCCAACAAAACACATTATGCCTGTCACTTTCAAAGTGGCAATGAGAAGAAACGCTAATAAAAATAATTAGTTGTGCATTGGTTTTTCAGTTATGTGCCAGGCCCTGGAGCAAGCACTTTACACGTACTAATTCACTAATTTAAGGAAAATTAAATTAAGAAATTGGCGTTATTTTGCCTAAACAGAAGACTGGGAGAGAGACTAACTGATAACTAGATAAAGGGAATTTGGCTTACATTACACAAGAAAGGATTTGGGGTAGACCCTGAAAATTTTGAGGTTGTTTGACTTAAGGGGGAACTTTCTTGCATGACCTTGGGACACTTTACTAGAGTGATTTTATCCTCTGCAGAGGTTTGGGAAGAGGTGGGCCACCTGGTGTTCAAGTGGCAAGGCAGTTTTGCAGGAAGGCAGCGTGGTGCCGAGATGCTGGATGAAACCTCTCCCACCCCAAGTGTCTCTGATTGTGTAGTTATTCAGTCACTAATGGGTTCTCTCCCATGACAGCTGCTCTTTGCTGCCACATTTTCAGGGTCAAGCGCAGCATATTATATGACATTTCTGATGTGACAATGCTCCTGGATTCAGAGCGGGTGGCAGGTAAGTAGTGGTGACTTCTGGGTGGGATAGTGGACAGCTACGAGGAAAGGTCAAAGCCTTTGCAGCACGCACCATCTTAGAGACGTCTTAGAGAGCCACCCCCTCGGGAACAAGAAGACCCAAAAGAAAGAGAGCCTTTAAATACAAAGCAGTTTGGACCGTGCATGATGGTGTCTTACACTTCAAACTAGAGGACCACACACATCTTCGCCTTGCCGCCCTCCACCCCCTGGTCAACCTCTGGGACTGGTGCCTCTCACTCAGAGGGCTGTCCAGCTTGTTAACATCTTGCCATGTACTCCCTGAGCACAGGGAGAGAAAAGATGGAGAGGAGAGAGCAAGACCCTGCTTTATCAGCACTTTGATGGAGCTGCCACTCTCAGCAGGCTCTACTTCAGAGCCCTCTGCCGGTGGTCATTAATGAGTTCTTCTTTACCCAGGGAGAGGCAGGGTTTGCGACACAGGAACGAAGGTTAAATGCTGGCTCAGTACTTTCCAGCTGGGATTAAGACGTCACAGGCCCTGGGGTAATGTAAGCACATTCGAAACACAAGATCCCGAGAAGGAACTGAAAAGCAACTCGATATCCCAATCTGAAAGGAATATTTTAGTTCTTAGGGGCAGGGAGGGAGCCCTTTTGGTTCCTTTAGACCTTTTCAGTGCTTGGAAAACAAGAAGTCCAGTGTCCTTGCCCACCACCCCAGGGGTCTGTGGTTATCAGGCTCAGGACACCCCAGGGGGAACTCTGCCCTGCCCTGCCACCAGGGACTCCTTGTGCTCCAGGGAGAACTGACCAGAACGAACACCTCCTTCAGCTCTGAGAGGCTGCACATTCTCATCCACCAGCTGTTAGGTTTAAAAAGCAAACACCCAAACACAAGACCAGGCTGTAGAGGCAGGAGTAGATCGTGTGGAAACAGAGAGCTCATCTCATCATCTTCTGGGTTGGTGAGTAAGTACAGATACCATGGTTTCTTAGCAGCCCACCTTCCTTCCAAGATGGACCCTAGAAGTTCCAGTGAAATCCCCCTCTCTATGAACTACCAAACCTCTCCAAACTCATGTCTCACTGCTCCTCGGTGCAGGACCCCTTCATCCTAGACACATGAATTCCCTGGTTAAGTGACTGGTTTAACAAGGTGATCTGTTAAATGACTGGTTCCTTTGTTTGTGGCAATTTCCCTTCCCAGAACAGCTTTGTCCTGTGTTCCTCTGGCCCATGCACACTTATCTCTCATGACCTAGACTGAAACTTACCTCTTCTGGGAAGTCTTCTTCCATACCAGCCCACTCCCCACTGAATTTTCCTAACACAGCTGTTTAGTCTAAGAGTATGCCATTTTGCCCTTTTAGACAGGAGTATGACTTGGTTTTCAGGTAGCTTCATTTGTACTCTTTGGTTCCCCTACTTTTTTCCTTTGTATTGCTACCAGCACTCAGAACAGGGTCTTTCTAGAGAGATAGACAGCCACTCCCCACTCCCCTTCACCAAGGTCTCACCATTGATCCTATTGCCTTGGAGGTAAAGGTTCTCCAGGTTGGTATTGACGGGGGGGATCTTCTGCAGCTGGTTGTAGGAGAGGTCGAGCTCAAGGATGCTGCTGGAATTGAAGGTGTTGGAGGCCAGGCCATTGTTGGTAAGACTGTTGTGAGACAGCCGCACATACAGCAGCTTGGGTGAGCCCCGGAAATAGCTGTCAGGGACGGAGTAGACGTTATTGTGCTCCAGGTACAGCTGCTCAAGGGCTGAGGGCAGTCCGTCAGGCACCTTTCGAAGGTGGTTGTAACTCAGGTCCAGCAAGATCAGTGACCGGAGGCCCTTCATCGCACTGCCCACTTCCTGGATCTCGTTGTGTTGGAGATACAAGGCTGTAAGGTTCTCCAGACCCTCCAAAGCATTGTTGGGGACCCTTGAGATCTGGTTGTGGTCGAGATGGAGCTCCCTCAGGGATCGAGGCAGTGGGCCGGGCACCCGGGTCAGGTTGTTGTGGTCCAGGTACAGCCTCTCCAGGTGCTTCAGCTTGGAGAAGACCTTCCTGCCCACCTTATCACTGGTGATCTGGTTGCCATGGAGAGCAATCCAGAGCAGCCCAGTCGCATTGTCAAAGACACCTTCCTGGATGGAGGAGATCTGGTTGTTCTGGAAGTATACATACTTCATGCGAGAGGGGACGAAGGGCAGGTACTTGAGGTTGCGGTTGTCACAGTACATGGCTGTGGGGAAGTTGGGTGGGCAGTCACACTCCTGGGGGCAGTCGCGGGGCTCTGGTGGGGGTGGAGAGCCGTAGGCATAGGCTGGACCTTCCTCCACCCCGTAGGGGTAAGGCTCATAGGGCTCATAAGGGTAAGGGTCATAGGGATCATAGTAGGTGGACTGCTGGCTGCGGAGGTAGTGGAACCACCAGTGGGGGTCTTCGTCATACTGGGCCCGGGAGAGGGAGCAGAGCCCTGCCAGCAGCAGGAGAGAGGCCCACTGCATTTTGTCTCTCTGCAAGAAGGGAGAGAGAACAGAGCAAGCGAGCATGAGTGAGACTCTAGGGAGGCAGGGAGGCAAAGCAGGCAAGCCTTAGGCTTAGAGCTAAGCAGATCTGACTCAGCATCTGAGAGCAGGAGCTTTGCTCTCACCTCCTCTGTGCCTCCTCCCAGTGCCGGCTCTGCGCACTTGGTCCATCTGGACCTTGGCTATCTGGGGGAGCTACGTGCATTTTCCCCTGGTCACAGAGTCACAGAAATAGAGACTTTGAGATGAGAAGAAACTTGAATTGGGGAGCACTTCAGTTTTTGGAGGGACAGGTCCTTAGGAGTCTCTAGAACCTGAAGGTTCTGTTGGGGGAAAGCATACAGCAATCTCTGTGGGGGTGGGGCAGGAGGAGAAGGGGAGAGAGGGATGCTCTTTAGGCCTGAATTCCCGTCCAGTTTGGACTCCCCAGGAAAATAATATTTTTCAAGAGTCCAAGGAAGAAGCCCTCTGGCTCTTTCCCTGTCTCTGGGAAACCTCCAGAAGTGGCTTGAGACCTCGAAGAGGAAGATCTGTACTACTTCTGGAAGATCTTCTCCTCTCTTGGGCAGCCTGGGGGTTTGTGGTTTTGAGTCTTTGGGGAGGGGCGTGGTCCCTTTGCAGCCACCACAAGGCTTGGGCTACCCTTCAAAGTGCCAGCGTCTGTAATGGTCTGCTGGGTGAGAAAGCTCTCTGGTTAGCAGTTCGTGGCTATGCACGCAACTTGGCTGGCATAGGGTCTTCATATAACAGTTACAGATCCCCTCCAGAGTGGGGACACTGGCAGCCAGGTATAGCACTTGTCTGCTAGGGTGGGTCCTGAGTGTATGGAGTCTGAGCCAGCGCACTTGGCTGTCTTCCATGGTGTCTAGTAAAGTGTTAGCACTCCTTATGCTCCACCTTAGATATATACAAGAGCCATGGGTGACCAAGAGAAATGAATGAGGAACACTGAAAAATAGAATGGGAATTGAAGTCTCTTGTGCATGCCCAAGGGAATGCAGCTTTAGAATGGGTTTCTGGCATCCTTCCTTCCCAACACAAGCTACCTATGATGACATCTGGGTTTCCCTCCCACCTTGCCAGGCAGGCTGTTGCCTTTGAGCTCGTATGCTAGCGAGATGAGAAGAGGGTACTTGGAGAGAAATGTGGGTTTGGTGCCATCTGAGAAGGAAGCTAAAGGCATGGAAGATGAGGGACCAGGGGCTGGCATTTCAGACCCGGGCACCCTACTCCAAATACTTATAGCCAATGCAATGCATAGCCACTATGAGCAATAGGCACCTTCCAGAGGGGTGAGTGCCACCATTGGATGGAGAAACCTTAGAAGCTTTCTCGATCCTAGAAAAGTCACATATATCCCTCACATTTTTGTTGGGCCTTGCTGGGGTTGGCAACTGTGGACAGGAGAAAGAAAGGAGTCGAAAAGCCAGCATCAAATCCACTGAACTGATGAGAAGGACCCTGACTGTGACACTCAATCTAGTCACCATCTGGCCAGTCCTCCCTCTCAGACCTCCCTGTCCCCTGAAAGCAGTGCCCTTAGGCCCGCTTCCCCCCACCAGCCTCTGGGCAACAGAGGAGAGGCTCCCTGGCTCATCCTCAGACAGCCTCAGGCCTCAGACAAAGAGCCCACAGTGTTTCTGAGAAGCTCACTCAACTGCCCACTGCCTGGCATGCTGGCTGGGCCCTTGCTCTGGCCAGGAAAGAAGACGGATGGAGAGGCCCACTGCCAACAGCGCATTTTTCCATGCACAGTCCCGGACTGCTGCAGGACCAAGGTGGTTGTCTGGAGGCTGGCACAGTGAGCCTCTGTCTCCATTTCTTCCAGACTGGGCACCTTGGCAAACAAGAGCCACCTTCCTCTCTAAGACTCAGCTCTCCTGGGGCTGTGCATCCTGACCGCTTTGGCCTCTCCTTAGGGGCCATGATGGCTAAAAGGGTTTGGTGGGGAGCTTATGCCTCTCCTCACCTCACCCCCTTCTCTTGGCAATGTTGCTCCAGGGTTGTATGCTCTTAAATTTCCCCCTATAATGCTAGAGACCCTCCTGTGCTCGGAGTTTTGTGAGGTGGTAAGTTTCCAGGCAGGCACTCTATGAGTTGAGTCTGGCTCACTCAGGAGTTACTGCTGGTCTTTCATTTCTCTGCTCTAGAGGACCGTCTCTCCCTCCTATCAGAGTCGAAGAAGTCAAACCAGAAGCCATCCCCTCACTGGATTGGACCCCCACTTCACAGCTCCCTGGACACAATCGATTCTCAATGCTTCTCTTTATTCTCTTCCTCTCACCCCAGAAAAACACGTGCACACACACACACACAATACACAAACTCCTCCTGCCCCCCAAACAGCACGTAGGTCCCACAGAGAGACCACAGGGACATGGCGCTAGGATGGTGGGGTGAGTGGTGGGTGGGAGGGCAAAGCTGGCTTCTCTGGATACCTGGTTCTTCGCTTCTTCAAGCCCGAGAATTGGAGGCCTCCCAGCAACCAGAAAGGAACTGTCAGGCAAAGGCAGCCGCTGGAGCCCCTTCCTCCTGCTCCCCCTCGGCCCCTCTCCAGCCTCCTGGGATCACGGCCTAGAAGAGGAGAAGGAGGAATGGCTCCTCCCTGCCTGCCCCTGCCCTACTCCCAGCCCCTTCCTTTGTTTCCTTCATGGGACTAGAAGGCACAGAAACTGAAGTAAAATGCTGAACTTACCTCAAGTTGAACCTTTCAGAGTGACCACGTCCCTCTGTCTGGCCTCCTTGGTTGGAGAACGTGTGTGAGAGAGAGAGAGAGAAGGAGTAGGAGTGTCCACTGAGAGTGTGCGCGTCTGTGCCAGGCCAGGTCCCGCCCCCAAATTCCTAATCAAATATTGTGAAGAGAGGGGCTGAGGAGCCCGGAGCCTGGATTTTTCGGCTCTGCTGCAGGGGCGGAGCTCACACTCAACCGCGCAAAATCCTTCCATCTGCCTGATGCTATAAAAACCACCTTCTTTCCACTCACTTATCTTCCCTGAAGCATTGGCAGCTGTGGGCCTCTTTCTGCTGAATGAGTTAGTGGCGCCCTAGAAGTTATTTGCACAGTCCCTTACAGAGTGCCTGGATTTCTCATTAAACCACAGGGCAGATGTGGGGATGGGGAAGGCCAGGCTTTGGGGAAAGGCATCTTAACTCTTTAACAACCCCTGTGCCCCTCAGAGAGCTAGTGCTCACCCGTCTTGGCCCAAGCGCCCCCTATGGGCAGGTGGTTAGACCAGTGGATAAGAGAGCAGGACACAGGACAGCGTCCCTGACCAGGGTAGACTTCTCGGGGCTACAGATGTTCTCCCCCGACATTGGAGCAAATCTAGCAGTGACCCATCACTTGCTGGCACCAGCATTGTGCGCTCTCATTTAATCCTCACTACAGTCTTAGGATTCCTAACACCGCCTTGGGCTATAGCCAGGACTATCTGAGGTCATGTGTGTGAGGCACCTGGCCTAGCACCTCACTGATGCTCACTACCTGAACATGATTGCTGTTGTACCTATTTTACAGATATAGAGACCCTGGGTGAAGGGAAGATGAGGTCAGAGAAGCAGGCAGGAGCTAGACCATGAAGGGATATTTGGCATGGAAAGGATTTAGTTTTTATTCTAAATATTTGAAAAACAGTATGTTTTAAGCAGGGGAAGTACCCAATTCACATTTTTAAAAGCACATAGGAGAGACTGCTGAGTGGGGAGAGGGAGACGAGGGTGGGAGCCGGAGATGCTAGCCAGCCTCACAGAGAGAGAACGGCAGCCTGGACTGGTGCAGTGGGAAGGGAAATGTATTTTCAGAAAGGGGACTGACACATCCTGAAGACGGACCAGATATGGGGAGTCACGGAAAGTCAAGGATGAGGCCTAGGGTTTCAGTTTGAGCCACTGAGTGGGCAGCAGCTCCATTTCCTGACGTGGGAAAGACGGGGAGGGAGAGGGCCTACGTTAGAAATGCCTGTTGGCTCTCCAGTGGAGACGCACACAGGCAGTTAGATGGATGACTCTGAGTTTGAAGTTCAGGGGCTAGAGGAAAACATTTGGGAGCCATTAGAATTTGGGTCACGTAGAATCTCAGTAGCTTAGACGAACCTGTGTGTCTTAAATGCTCTCTCCTCAGCTGATTGTCTCCTGCCAGCATCCAGGAAACACTCCTTATTTGTTTTATTTTTAATTGTGGTAAATTGCACCTAACACAAAATTTACCATCTTAACCATTTTTAAGTGTACATTAGTGTTGTGTATTCACAGTGCCATGCAACCAGCCTCTAGAACTTTTTCATCTTTCGAAACTGAAACTCTATATCCTTTAGACAAAAATTCCCATTTCACCCTCTCCCCAGCCCATGGCACCCACCATTCCACTTTCTGTTTCTATGAGTTTCACTACTTTAGATGCCTCATATAAGTGGAGTCATACAGTATTTGTTTTTTTGTGACGCACGTTTCACTTAGCATAGTGTTCTCAAGTTTCACTCATGTTGTAACGTGTCGGAATTTCCTTTCCACAATATCATATTGTATGTATAGACCACATTTTATGTATTCATTCATTCATTGATGGACACATGGGCTGTTTCCACCTCTTAACTATTGTGAATGCTGCTGCTATGAACATGGATGTACAAATATCTCTTTGAGAACCTACTTTTAATTATTTTGGGTATACACTCAGAAGTGGAATTGGGTATATGCTCAGAATATGGTAATTCTATTTTTAATTTTTTAGACTTGTATACTGTTTTTCATAGCAGATGCACCATTTTACATTTCTACTAAGAGTGCACTAGGGCTCAAAGTTGAAACATTCCTTATTTTTAAAAAATGCCAATTGAGAAAGCCTCAGATTTGAATTTGAAGAATTTAGAGGTGTCAAGGCAGATGGCACTTTCAGTTGCTCCAATAGGTTTGAGCTGTGTTTTTGATGTTAGTGCCATTCCAGCTCCTAGTGACCCTGTGTTGAGCAGAGCGGAACCCTGCCCAGTCTTTTTGTGCCATCCTCTCACCTTCCAGCGCTCTATCAGACGATGCTCTGCTGCTATTCATAGGGTTTTCATGGCCAACTTTGTCGGAAGAAAGTGACCAGGTCCTTCTCCTAGTCTTTCATAGTCTGGAAGCTCCAGGGAAAACTGTCCACCGTGAGTGACTCTGCTGGTATGTGAAATACCGGTAGCATAACTTTCAGCATCGCAGCAACATGCAGCCGCCACAGTATGCAACCAACAGACAGACAGGTGGTGTGGTTCCCTGACCAGGAAAGGAACCTGGGCCATGGCAGTGAGAGCGCTGAATTGTAACTACTAGACCACGAGGGCTCGTAGGCTAGCCCTGAGTGACATAGGCTGTCAGAAAGTTGCTTGTTGGGGACCCACTCTTCTTAGGACTTACAAAGAGTTTTTAAAAAGATTAAACATAATGAGTGGGCCTCTACTGAACACCTACTATAAACTGAGTGATTTCCTTATGTTATCTCATATAATGATCTCAGGAGGTATTTTGCATTGGAAATAGGTGCTCAGAGATGTAAAATGAGTAGCTAGAAATGGTAAAACAAAGATTTTAACCTTGATCTAAAGCCCACATACTTTCTCACAAGCAAGGGCCAGAGGACTGGTAGAATGGAGGGGTGATGAGCGTCCTGCTGTCAGGGCTGGACTCAGTTTATACGGAGCCAGTCTACTGGAATCTGCGGAAAGGGGAGTATAAAGATGAGAGAGGGTGGGGAACAGGGCTTCTCTTTCTGACCTCACATGTAGTTCATTTCAGTTTAATAAACAGATAGTATCTCCTCTGTGCCTAGCAAGGTCCTGAGTGTAGGGGACACAAAGAGGCTTCATTATAATGCCTGCTCAAAATAAAGCAGACGCATATGCAGCAACTCTGATCTCGTGAGTGGCGCAGGGTGTCCTTAGCTGAAGATGGCTGTGAATAATGCACAGATGACTTTCTCATCATTTTTAAGTCCAGAAAGCAGTCACTTTTCAATGGAATTCATTGATTCTGGCAACCTGGCCTGAGAGACACTTCTTAGATGGGCCTAGGCAGCTTGCGCAAATCCACTCATTGGTACAGATATTTATTTTTTTAAATCCCAGCATGCTGGATAATTACTGTATTTAATAACGGTTAAAGTCAGTAGAGTCTGGGGACCAAACATTGACTGGGATCCTTTCCAGTACGTTTCACCAAAAAAGGCAGAATCTCCACGTGGTTTGTTGACCACTTCTAAAGCAGTGAGATTTGCACCAGTTCCTTAGTCATCTGTCCTGTTTCAAGATAGGTTTCGGGGGAAGAAAGAAAAGGGATGATTGGGATCAGGTCAGGAGGCAGAGTTCCAGGGAACCATTCTGAACCACTGTTCAAAATTCCTTTGTCAATGGGTTCTAATCTCCGTTTTGATGATTGCTGCTCTGTTTGCCTGGTTCTGGATCTAGGCCCTCTGAGCTCAGCTTTGGTATAGGAAGTAGGGGATCCTGATGTTGCCCAGATTGCCACAGGAGTCCACATGTAAAGGAGACTCACTGGGGACGCTGATGCTTTCTGGGAGGCGTCAAGCCAACGCTACCCAGTCATGAGACTATAAGGCAAGTAAAGAGAGAGGCCACGTTGCCCATTTCTGTAGCTCTGGTCCCCGGCTGGGTACACAGTGCCTGGCCCCTGGAGGTAATCAGTAAAGAGTTATGAAATGAATTGTATTTTTGGCTCCCTGCAGAGTCTACCTGTCTTCAGCACCTAATACTGGATGGAATGTCCACCACCAACCAAGCCAGGCAAACCCTTAGACTTTTAGGCCAATTAGACTTTCCAGGGGTTCAGGCCACTGCTATTTCCTCCTGACCTGGAAAAGTACTGGGCAAAGCTGATTGCCTCTGACATTGGACCCACCCTGTTTGGGAGGGATGAAGTGTCTTCTGATTTAAATTACTGCCAGCAAAGACACAGTGAGACTCCTGTGGCGGCCAGCCTCTTCCTCTTCATCCCCATAGAATCCAACTGTCCGTGTTTTTATATCATAGCCTCTGGTCCCAAACAATCAGGGGAAGAGGGGCAAGACTGGAAATCCACCCAAACAGAATTATTGAGTTGGACATAAAGAGTCAGTAGAAAGATGATCATGGTAATATGATTCAGGCCCCGCTGCCGGCCCATCCTGAAAACTGTTGACGCCAGACAGCGATTGTTTACTAGTCTAATGTTTCGATGGAAAGTCTTGGCTACACTGACACCCCATAATGTGTCCCAAAGTTTCCAAGGGAGATGTTTTCCTTATTCCCTTGGCACTGAGGGGTCATTAGAAGTCCTCACCATGGATAGTCTCCTCTTTCCAGAGGATGAGACCAAGAGTTGGAGCTGGGGGAAAGACTTGCTTTCTTTCAAGTGCAAGCCTCTTTCAAGTTCCAAGTTCTGGGAAATGCATTAAGAGCTTCAGAATTTCCTTCTAATAAGCTCTTTAAAAATAAGGCAGAGAACAACCTTTCTCTTTTAATGGATAGCATCTCTTATTTTTACTGTGTTTTTACTGCATGCCTGGTATTATTAAAATGAT